TATCTTACGCATGGAGGGTGGAGCCCGTTATGAGTACCTCTATTCCCTATACTGACGCATACGACTTCTCTACTTCCCTACCTATTCAAACCCTCTAATTCCCTTTACCTATCCTATACATAATACCATCATCCCAAAACTCCTCTTTGCTTTGGCAGACCAGGCAGCCAGGGCTCAGAAGTTCCTAGCGCTGGCTAAGGCCTGCACCCGGCCCGGCCCGGCCAGGCTTTTCCCGGCCCGTATGTTGCCCGCGGGAAGATTGGGCGGGCCTCGGGCGGCCCGGTATTTTTGTTGATTTTTTTTTTCTCGAAAAAAAAAGGAATAATAATACATTTTTCCTTTTTTCAGGGCGAGGGAGAGTATCACCGCTCTATTATCTCAATTGTATTATACACTTTATCGGGATATCATATCAATTATAGTTAAAATGACATCGAAAAAGAAGAAAAACACCAGCCCTCTACCCCGCTCGAAAACCAAGCAAGCTCGTCTCTCCTCACCAAAAGAAACCACTTCGGGATCGCAAGCGACAATTGTGCTATCTGACGCAGATTCCGATACCTCACATCCGCGTATCAGTGTCAACGTACGATCAACCAGCCCCACTCGCCCCAACCTAACTAATCAAATCAACTCTAGATCCGGCAGCAAGACATCGTGGGTGTGGAGATATTTTAAGACTCAAACCGTTGTCGATCCGATCACCAACAAAGACGAGAAGAGGACCATTTGCACCTACCAACTCGAGCCTGAAAAGGCGTGTGGCAAGAGTTATAAAGTTGATGTGTCTCAAAGTACAAAATCAATGAGTCGACACCTGCTCAAGCACGGCCTGGATGAAGAATCGCACGTCGAAAAAGGAGCAGTTGACATGAACAAGTTCCTCACAACTGGTCGGATTGCGCCAGTAAGTACTTCAAACCTTAGTAGATACTTTTAATTCTTGTCTCATTCCCTGCTTCTTCTTTTCTACTTCAAAAGAGTGAGAAGCTCTCAAATTCATCCTTCCGGTCCGCTATCTTACGCCTCATTGTCAATGAAGAGCTTCCTTTCTCCTTAGTCGAATCTGAGGATCTACGTAATGCGTTTATGCTAGTCAATCCGAACATCAAGCCTTACTTCTTTGGTCATACTACCTTTACCAATACCCTCAAGGCTCAGTTTATCAAAGGTCGACGCTTGCTTACTCATCACCTCAAGGATGTTACTCACGTCAATTTCACTTGCGATGGATGGAGTCAACACAACAAATCAATTCTTGGAGTCACAGCTCATTGGATATCGAAAGACTTCAAGTTGTCCGAGGCTATCATCGGAATGAAGTTGATCGACGGTCCTCATACTGGGGAAAATCTTGGTGAACACTTACTCGAAACGTTGAAGACTTACAATTTAATCAATAAACTCTTTTGCATCACTGCTGATAACGCGTCTAACAACTCTGTCATGGGAAGAAAAATTGAAGAAGTAGTCCCACAATTCCACGCTGACAAACACCTCCTTGGATGTATCGCGCATGTCATTAACCTCGTCGCTAAAGCAGGACTTCATGTGTTCTCCGAGAAACTAGGCAACAAAAACCCTTCATTACCTCCTGCGCTCGCTGCTTGGCTACATCAAGACACCGAACGAATCTCGAGTGCTCTAACTCGCCTGATTGGCTTTACCAACTATGTCGAGGCATCTCCACAACGTGTGGAGTCTTTTATGCTCCTTGTTAAGGGTATGCTCCCAGAAAAGGATCACGTTCGACTTATCAGACGGGTCGACACACGCTGGAACTCTGATTGTGAAGCTCATGAGAGATCTTATCGACTCAAGGCTGCAATCGATTATCGCACCAAAAATGATCGAGAATATGCAAAGTTTTCACTTACCGAAAGTGAATGGGATTTGGTCGCCCATCTTGTAGAATTTCTCA